AGAGACAGGTCCCAGCCTGGGTTAGGCCGCGGGGTTCGGCGACGGCGGGAGCAGCGTGGGCGCCGGTGTCACTTCGGGTTGTTGGCGCCGCCGGTACCGTATATTCTTTGCGGACTTCCGTGAACTAAACTGGATTGCTTGCCATGATTCTGTGGCAGGAGCTGCACCGTAGGGAAGTAACTTGAAAAAGTCTGACAAAGAGACGTTTATGGGAATAATTCATACTTAAATTGAGCAAACTGTATGTGCAACAGGTGGCTATTATAAACTTCATTTTTTTAATTAGGTTCTTCCCTCACCCTGCACAAGGCAAGTGCGGAGCTACTATGTGGACTGGAGGATGCTGCGGGACGTCAAGAGAAGGAAACTGGCATATGAGTATGCGGATGAGAGGCTGCGGATCAATGCCATCCGGAAGAACACCATCCTTCCCAAGGAGCTGCAGGTACCGGGCAGCTGCCCCGTAGCTGTGCCCTGGCCACAGGCCTGCACCTGGCTCCCACTGACATGACCCGCTGCAGCCGCTTCACAGGCACATGCGGCTGTGCCAGGTCATCATCAGTTGCATTTCCCTAACCCATGAGCCCAGAATCGCACCGTATTGCATAGTTGCTGCTAGTGCCCACGCGACATCAGAGCCTCTGCCTTTTGGGAGTGTATTCATCTGACTAGAGGTTGTGTGTGTTGGGTTTTGGTTATTTTTTAAACCAGTGCCTCTCATGTAAGCAGTATATATAACTACATAGGCTGAAGTCTGATTTTTTTTTTCCCTTCATATCTGCCACTAAAATTCAAAAAGCTATTTTCCTTATTTTTGATAATATAGAATATTATATGGTTACTTTAATAGTTTCCTAAATAAACGTTAGATTTTTTTTCTTATTTAAAATCCTGGAAGCTCAATCCAGTCAAAACTACCAATTTGTTCAATTAGAAATCATTTTATTCCTGGCCTGAGCTACAGGCATGTAAAAGCTACATCAGATATGGGTGTTAGATCTGCACTTTAAAATGCACATATTCAGTACCTGCTCTTGGCCTTCCTTACTAAGCATTAAAAACATTTGCAAGTATCAGAAATATTCTGTACGTATTTATTTGATCTGGTCATGCCTAGTTATGAGATCCTTTCACGTTTAAACATCGTGTGAGAGAAGTCTGCTTTTATATGTTGACTTTACCATTCTCTTGGCAAGTCTAGCCCATGTTGGATGTCTTTACAGAACAAACAAAACAAAAAGACTGCAACTGGCTTTGCTTTTGGTATTCCTCAGCTGCCTTTGTCACCTTTTGAAGTCACTAAATCATAGCAGCAGTTAGAATGAAGAAGACGACACTGAGAAATTAACTTTTTCCTTCCCTACAAAATGCTGTTTGGGCTCCAAATTTAGTTTTTAAAAGTAAGTTAGGAGTTTTCTCTGAAAGCATAGGCTCCTTTCTGAATAAAATCTTAGAAATTAAATAGGTCAAAAAAATAATGTATGTGTTCGGTTGTACTAGATGGAGTGTATAGCTATATACACAGATAAGATTCACAACTGGACAAAACCAGTAACTGAAATATGTTCTGAAGACAAGTCCTACTGACCTTGGTGTTACTGAAGTTGAAAGTCACATTGCTGCTGTCTTGATGCCACCTTCCTTTGAAGGCAAACATCCCTTTAGAAGATAGCCTTACACTACTGCTTTTCAGCACTCCTGCAATATAATGGGAGTTTTTGTAGCCCAGCCTCAGACCTTCCCTTTACCTCCCAACTGTGATTTCCTACCATGACTGAACACAGGATTCTTTGTGCCCTTCTGTCCTTCAGAAAATAGCATATTAAGAATGCTGCAATCAGGGACACTTACTTAGCCTCAAGCACCTTCCTTTAGGCTGTATCTCCTTGCTGAGCTCACTTGTCCTTCTGACGTTTCAATTGCTGCTATGTGGTGTCTCTGAAAACTGTTGAACTCTTACTGTACACAGACCTTCTCATTAGAACAGAGACACTTTGACTTGTCTTTCTCTGCCTGTATCTCCTTCCAAAGTATACTATGAGATTCCTTTTACTGACAAACTGCATTACCTGGCAAGACAGTTAATAAGGAACATGATACTTCAGCTTATCTTTAAAGGAGTAGCTCACCATGCAACATGAACACCACCACACAGATTTTTGACTAATGAGAATTACTCGTATGAGGTTGTTCAGTCTGTGTAGTAAGGTTAACTTTGGGGTCTCCATGTGGATCATTTCTCATTTGCTGCTGGGATGCCCAGAAATAAAGGCCCAAGTGAGGAAGACAGGTGTGAGATCCTCATCAAATAGAAAAGCATCCTCATGAGGTGGTAGAGGAGATTGTGGTGGTACCTGCTCTACAGCTAGATTTTGAGGTCTGGCAATAAGCCCTCTCAAAATCCTGGAGAACACAGATAAACTCTATGCTGTGATCTTCTGTTTTAGGAAGTGGCTGATAAAGAGATTGCTGACTTACCCCGGGACAGCTGCCCTGTGAGGATCCGAAATAGGTGTGTCCTGACATCCCGCCCTCGGGGGGTGAAGCGGAGGTGGAGGCTCAGCAGAATCGTTTTCCGCCATTTTGCTGACCATGCTCAGATGTCTGGGGTACAGAGGGCCATGTGGTAGATTGCCACATGGATATACATTCAGGCAAAAAATGGAATGCAAGCTCCATTTGTGTGTTTGAATAATTAAAGCATGACTGTTCTGTTCAGGAGTCCAGCATTAATATCAAACTAATGAGGAAAGGATGAGAAGCCATGCTGATTCATTAAACTCACTTACTGGATTGCAGTTGGTATCAGGTGACAAGAAGCAGCATAACTGCACTGAACTGGTCTGTATGAGAGGCAGTTTTATTCTGAGGAAAAAAAAGTTGACTGTTGCAGAACTAAGCTGAGGTTTGTGATACAGGCAATATTAGAAATAAAGACATACAGCACAAGGCTTAAGTAGGTTTTTTGCCACTGTACAGTAAGTTCACCATAATAATTTGGGTAAAAGCATAAATGAAATTGCACAACAGGGCAGAGTGCTATTCTGCCATGAACAAGAGTGAGCAAGAACTGAAAATAAAAATGGCCTCAAGTTAAGTTACTCTAGCTATGTAAACTTTATATTAATAAGCAAACAAAGTGGATAAAGGACCTATTAGAAACAACACCGTGCTAGTATTTATCTCCTGCTTGTAGTGCAGCACTTGGTTCAGTGCTTTAAGAACAAGGTAGGAAGTCCTAGTCCAGACCATTATAAGGGTAATGGCTTCCTTAATTCATAAGGTAACATCAAACAAATCTGTCCTTGGGAGACACACAAGAAGGAAGCAGGAAGGAGACAAGAAGCCTACTGCTAAGTTCATGTTTGCCCTGTACCCTTCTTCAAAGCAGGGCAATAAAGGGGAAATGGCTGCCTTGTTGCCCCCCACTAGCCAGGGGGCTGCAAGAAACAGGCCAAGTAAAACAGCTCTACCATAGAATGGAAAGCACACAGGCAGCACACAGCAGCCCGTCACCCCCAGTTGAGTCAAATTTTAGAGTATAAACTATCTCAATCTACTTTGTACTCTGTTAATACCAATACCATGTTTCTGCTCAGCTCTCAGGTGCTTGAGATAGTGGTTCTACTTTCTTCAGCACTTCTCCCTTTGTGACATGCTTTACAGTTCAACATCTAATCAAAAAAACACACCCCATGTAGGAACATGACATGAGCCCCAGCAACCAGGTGGTTACAGCTGTCACTTGCAACAGAAAGGCCTTGACCCATCCTGGTTTAGAATTCCATTTCTTTTACATTTTGTTCTCGATTTCACAACACTTGACCCATCTGAGATGCTTTTTACCTATGCTCCACTCTTCAGGAAATGTTGAACCACTTGACTGAAGGAAATGCTTTATAAGCTCTTTTATTTAAATATTTTCTTCAACCCAAAATGGAAAATGACTGTCTTTGCTTGGAAGAAGGTTGTGTAAGCAATGATCTTTGCAGCACAGCATGTCTCACATGGAAGATCAATGTTAAGGCGGCCCTTAGAGTACTTTCAAATATCCATTGGTATGTCCCCTTTGGATTGCTTTTCTCTGCTTTCAACCCAGGCTTTGTTGATGGTGCGTTTCATTTCATCATCCCCTTCTGCATACATCTTTTTTAAAAGGTTCATAAGCCCTTCACTAGGATCTGAGGTGTCATAGGCAGCCTTCCTGCAAGATGGATACATATGAGAAGATCAGGTATAGCCAACAATCCCAGGCAAAAAAATTAAATGCTAGTATTTGTTTGAAACATCCTGGTAACATCATTTTGCTCTGGCGAAGTCTTTAGACCCTGGCAGTCAGTCACACCTCGGGCAGCTTCTAATTAGGGTCAATCCTAAAGAGTACCCTTAAACTAAGTGCAAGTTTAGAGCTGTCCCACTAAGGATGACGGGAAGCATTCTGAAGGAAACATGACTCTGGAAGCAACATCCAAAACTAATTTTAGGAAGCAGGAGTGAAATGTAACAGATACAAAGCACCAACATCTGTCTGTGCTGTCATGTGACAAGTGAATAAAAATAGAAAAACCACCACACTGAGCTCTGTGAAGTGAACACACTGACAACCCAAGAGACATTCTCTGCTTCTTATTTTTCAGATTATCTCCAGAGGCTGACTGATTTTTTTAACACCTTGCATTTCAAAGCAATTTTCTCAATTTAAGCAGCCAGCTGACAAACAGTGCCACCCACATGGTAAGCACCTGGTTATGACACACCCCACAGTACCAGATGATACATAATGCCTTCTCTGGCAGAACTGCTTCCCTCTAGCCTGTTTTCTAAAATCCTCTAGGTAGTTCCTAGAGCAGCTGCAGGCTATCTGAAAAACACGCAGATCAAAAGCGATCAGCAGAGGGAGCAAGTTCCCCAAGCACGGAGGTAACAGCCAGTCTCGCAGACCGAGCTGTGATTCTGAAGCAACTAATTCGGCCACACTGTAAACCCTCAGCACTTTGAATAAGGCAGCAATACTGGCCATTGCAGGCTGGGCAGTGCACAGGACTTCACAAGATACAGGTTTAGCAAAACCACCCTGTCCCTCCAGCAACCAGCATTAGTGGTCAAATCACTTTCTCTTAATCTCCAGTGATGTCATTTGAGGAGGGAAGGTAGTTTTGCTCTAAATTCAGGTACTGTCACAGTTAGGACTAATCAGTTGTGGTAAATCATCCTATAAATATATACAAAATTAATAGTTGTCAGGCATAACTTTCTCAAAAGTGAGTGCTTCCATGCTTCAAGATGAGCATACACATTCTCTTCTGGATAAGAACATGTGCGTGTATTGTAAAATAATAATAAATTATTCTATTATATAAAGATAGATATAAAATAGAGTATATGTGTGTGTCTTTTTTCCCCAGCTCTTTTCTGCTGTAGTTTACCACCTTTATATATCCAGTGCCTAAGCTGCCTGAAGGATGGCTTCCAAGCTCTTAAAAGTGATACAAATTAGCTTGAGACTTCATGTAATGATGTAGGTAAGCAAAGACCTGTTTTGCCAAAAGGACGTTGGGATTTTTGTGCAGGCACCTCACACAGAGGTGACAAAGTAATAATTTGACCACCAGAGCTGCAGAGATTGTATATGTAATTCTATATAATATACACAATCTAAAAAAAGTCATCATCACTAGAGCAGTTTTTGCAACCAATGCAGCCATCAAGATATAAATGAATCTTTAATTAGTTGATTACCTTTAGCACTCTCCCTGCAGATCTTATCTATCATATTTCCTATAATGCAGCCTTCAGCAGCAGTAATAAGAGAGTAGAAGAGTGGCAAACAGCTACTCAGAGCTCATCTCCTCCGCTGCCAGTCCCACTAGTACCACAAAAAATCCCAACCTAATGATTCTCTTAGGGGCTGTTCCCTCAGAGCAGCGATTCTGACAGTCTGACTGCACAGACAGCACAGAGCTGCTCTCCTGGCAGTCCTACGGCAGTGGGGAAAACAAGAAATGGGAAACAAGATGGAGCATTGAAGAGACACTTACTCTTTCTCTTTGCTTTCTTTTTCCACTTGAGTGAGACATTCCCATTTTTCCTCCCTCTTCTTCCTACACATCACAAGAACCGTGTCTGTCTTTATCTGCATGGAGAACAGCAAGGCATGAATTTAGAATGCTTCATGAAGAGTCACTAGTCACAAGCACAACAAGGAAGGTTAGCTTATAACAAACCTCTTTCTACACTCACACATTTATAGTGGGTAGAAATAAATGTATGTACTCAGCTTCGGGGTACAAAGTATTAGCCTCGTTGTAGACATTTAAATGGTATGATCAATATAATACTAGCACAGAATTACAGTACTGATACAACAATGCAGTGATTCTCAGGATGCTGAAGTACCCAGGACTGTCTGGTAAAGGGTGCCTGTATTTACCAGACTTCTCCACAAATACCAAGTTCAGGTAGAGGCTCTTCCAATTTATTTATCCAGGGATAAGAAACTAGTTTTAGGCCACTGCTTAATCTTGCCATGTTTTCAAGTTACAAGCAAGGCCTGTTTAGTTGCAGCCCTGACCTAAATTTCACAAAGAACTCCTGCGTGCCACAGCAGACAAGAGTCTGGTGGAGCTTTAGCTTAGCAAGTATGTGATCACTGCTTCATTTTACAGTGCTAGAAATCACCAGAGTACCACCCTCATTTATTTCAGTTGTTTTAATTTTATACTGTCCTAGTCTTAGGGCAATTTCAAATTGAACAATCATTTCTTCACAGCCGATGTCACTAAGTGCAGCACACAACTGAACAAAACACACACAAGGTATCTGACACATCCCTAAGCCCAGAAAGGTGCTACAAATAGCAGAGTATGGACACTACTCTCAGTTGCAGTCATCAGCAGCGAAGCGTTACTAGTGTCGAATTCTTGAGCAACACACCCTCACAAAGGCAGAGCAGATTCCAGACTTTGGGTATTAAGCCTACTTAAGCTTCTCAAGATTTTAGTCTGCTGACAAGTGTCTCAGACTTGAAAATTGCAAAGAATTTCTCAGAGGTATTTAAAAGCACAAGGATGCAAATGGATGCTTAGTGGAGTTCTCTGCTTAATTATTTCTGAATTCTGTCAGAGAGCTATTAAAAAAAAAGCATACAATACCCAGACACAATCTTTTGAAATAGAAGCCCATAGATTCCAGAGAATAATTCCACAGTTAGAAAAATTACAGATTACCAAGAATCATGTTGACAGTGAAGAGGCTTTACAGACAGAAGGGACTGAAGGTTAGCACCGAGTCTCTTGAACTAGAGTCAGGCAATGAACATGGTACTTTGTGAGGGACCTAAACTCTTAACAGCCGAGGTGCACTGACCTTTCTAGAGCTGCCTTCCACAGAGATGGGTTTCAGCAGGTTGTTGAAGGTCATGGTGTAGTTCTTCCCATTCAGATTCTTCACTAGCACATCGAATGACCTGGAACCAGAAAGTAAGGGAAGGAGAGAACAATTAATTCCAATCATTGTAAGACTATTGTGCCTTGACACCAAAAACAATGTCTGAAACCCCTTTAGCAGGTGTATTTCTTTGGAAAGCACATCAACTGGCTTGAATTACTTTCTCCCCAGGGCTTTCAAATCCTCAGTTCAATTTAACACTGAGGACTTAAAATGACCTGTCCAGATTTCACAACAAATCAAGATCTTCAGGGTTTGTTCTACCTCACTGGTCTCCTACAACCCTGGAAAGGCAGATTTGCTTAATGTACGCTTCAGTTTTGTCACCATCAAAAACCAGGGTACACTATGTATCCTGTCAAATGTGATCAGGTGCAATAAGCATTTGTAAAATGAAAATCCCCTGACACCCTCTAATGAGAGATATACTTAAGACTATGTGGTAAGCGCTACTAAAGGCTAGTATCGCTCAAATTTAAAGGAAAAAAAATGTGATGGGGGGTGGGGGGATGTATGGGTGGGTAAGGGCTGATCCAGAACAGAACTCAACACAACACATTCCTGCATTTCAAATAGTGTTCTTCATCCATGCTGTCCCCAGTGTCGTGGTACAACAAGATGAACTCACCTCTCTGTGAAATTCACCTGCACATTCTCAGCTGTAAGCTTCTGGACTCCATTTAAAGAGATGTAAATCTTAATAAACTTATCTGACTGATCCCAACCTACGAGTGAAAAAAAGGATTATGTTCTAGCTTTCCTCCATAAACTTCATGCAGTCCATTCCAACTCCCCCCTGCAAAGTCCCCCAGCAATGACCAGGATCTGTGCCTTATCAAAACAATCTTCAGAGCAATAAGGGGAAGACATTAATTATTCAGGAACAATTTGAGGGCAAAAGGAGGTTTTTTCACATGTTGCCCTGTTTCCTAATTCCTGCAAATTCTGAGAAAAACCCCATATCAACTCAGGTCAAAGGGCAGCAACTCTGTGCAGGGGGAGCCAGAGGTAGCTGTTTGCTTTTGCTGCAGTTTCCTTGACCCACTTTTCCCCCTGCTCTCTTCATGGCAAGTATCTTGAGTAATTCCCTCTCCTTTCACCTACATGGTGAACAAAGAAGCCACTCTTCCATTGCCGCTAAACACTAAGCAACGGAAGAGTACTAGCTGGTACAGGAGGGATCATTAATGCATCCCACCAGTACTATCACACAAACAGAACTAGTACATACTGTGGTTGGGATGGCACAGTAAGCACATAGTAGCTTTTAACGTGGGGTCTCCAGTATGAAACAAACACTTAAGAAGGCTTCTCTGTAATGTTAATTGGCAACTGTAACTCATATTAATGCTGCCCTGCCTTCTTCTGAGAGATGCTGGATCTCTAGGAAGTGTTCAGAAAAGTAATCCTACCATAATTGTTTATTTTCACTGTGTACCCTCCCAGCAACGACTTGTCTTCCTCTGCCACATCTTTTGGCTTTGGTGGAGGCTGATTCTTGATTTCTAGCTCTAACTTGTGTTTCTCAGTCATCAGGACATCATGAAGTCGCTTCCTCGTGGCTTTCGTAAGCAATTCTTTAACCTCTTCCAGATCTTTTTGTAACTGTTTCGAAAATAAAAGTCACATGTACGTATTACATACAGTTCTTTTTAGTCAAGGTTCACACCTGAGCGCTTTCAGTTATGACACTTTCAAATTTCCCAGCTGCAGCAGCTTCAGGTTTATCGGGTCAGTGGTTTCCTGCCTATGCCCCGTTAAGCACGAAACCATCCACTCCTCACGCCCCAGTCGCCCGCGATTTCACTTCTCCACCAGTACATATTCCAAGGTTTCACCTTTCAATCAACTGAAAAGCCAACAGACACGGGCAGAAGCGGGAGGCTTGGCGCAGCCCCTCAGCAGGGCCTAGATGCCGCCGGAAGCACAGAGCACCGCCTCAGGCACCCTGCCCGCCGCACGCAGCTGCCCGGCCCCTCGCTCCCCAGCACGGCCAAACCCCGGCCCCTCAATCCGCTCCGCTCCGCCCCGCCC